TTTTTTTTTGCGGCGATATCCAAACATTGCTTAACAAACTCACCATCTTTAAAAGGCCGACAAGTTTTCGCTATTATTCGAGATATTTCAAAGCTAACTTCAGTGGCTGTTTCAGCATCTTGAATTGGTTTTGTAAACATAGATTGCTGGCCTATTAGTTCCCGTTGTAAAGTGGAAATTCTTTGCGTTCGATTTTCGCCAGTTAATTTGGTAAAAGTTGGATGCTGGGTTTCATAGTGCCTTTTCACATTATATTCCTTCGGAATAGAAACACTACTCTTGCATATTAAACAGACAATTTTGTTATGCGATGAAATAAAAAAGTATTTTTCGGTCCAAATATCATGAAACTGTCGATTTTCATCTTCAACCTTACGACTACGTTTCTTACTGGGGCCTGGTTTATCCATATCAAAATTAATATTATATGTTACAGTCGGTAAAAGCCAAGTTCGAACGACGAAATATTTACTCGTCACAGATTACAGTTCTCAAACAGTATAACGTTCGCTTATCCGTAGTCAAAACTTAACTGCCCCGGTAGCCGGCGATGCGTCGTATTTATACGAGTTACCAAACATCGAGAAACATCCACTTTGTTCGGGGATCGACGTGTTTCGCGAATCTGTAATCTAGTTGATGCGACAGATCTCTAGTCTCGTAATAATATGCTTGGACCGGACCGCGGCGAGTAGAATACTTTTAAAATTCGTTGGCGGGCCGCATAAACATCGACAGCGGGCCGCGGTATGTGCATCCCTGCTTTAAAGGCACTGCTTGAACAAAACGTTTTAAAAAATTTTTTGTGACAAACTCTAGTAATTAATGATAAAGCAAGGAAATAAGAAAATACTTTATTTATCAAAATAACAGCCTTCTAAATATAACATACTTGTAAATATAACACTTATAAATAAGGGCCCCAGCCTATATACATTTGGCACAGATTGTCAACACTTATAGCTTCATTGATCAAATAATTTGTCTGTCCTTCTACTGAGAGGGGACAGACCACTGTTCGGTTCCTAGTTTTCACTTTGCCTTGCAACCTCAGTTCAATGTTTTTAATGTGGTCTACAGCCTGAAATTTGATAAATATGATGAAAACATCACACAAATTGTACCTTCCAACTAAAATATTTCAACAGAAGGCAAAATAACAGATGCAATACATGAAAACTAAACGTGAACAAGAATTTTACCTGTTCATTCGTTTTTTCGGAGTTGTGTACGCTTTGCAGCGGGGGCATATTTCGAGGCCAAGAAACCAAAGGATCGTATACAAACGGTGTGACAATCGACATTAAGGTGTTGGCATTACTTCGTAAGACTCGTAAGGTACAAGCGCACGATTTTCTAAATATTCCCTCCACTCCTAGGGGGCCCATAGCCGATACCATATTATGGGTCAGTCTGAAAGGAACCCGTTCAGGCCAATCGAACGCCTCTCCTAAAATAATTTAGAGCTAAAGTAACTGATTTTGCATCTATCTTTTGTGATCGATATATTTATCTTGAGAAATGCATTTTTTTTTTCGAAAACAAATGAATTAAATACTGACAATAGTGTTATATTTTTAGTGGCTGTCTATTTACTATTTTTTTATATACAGGCTATCCAAAAGTCCCGGTAAAGCAGAAAAACTTGTGATGCAGGCATTTTGGGAAAAAATGTTTTAGACAAAAGTGTAAGGATTTTTTCTTGGCTATCTGATGGTGACCTTGGATTTGACTTTGACCTTCAAGGTCATTTGAAGGTCAAGTTAAATTTTTTAATTGGGAACCCCTATTCTTTATTGTGGATTTGAAAAGAGCAGGAAATTTTACGTCCAAATTTGGTCTTGACCATGACTTTGAGAATGACCTTCAAAGTCAAATGTGGGTCAAGTTCCAAAAGTCCCGGTATGGCAGAAAAACTTTCGAATAATGCATTTTAGGAAAAAATGTTTCAAACAAAAGTGTAAGGATTTTCCCCTGGCTATCTGATGGTGACCTTGGATTTGACTTTGACCTTCAAGGTCATTTGAAGGTCAAGTTAAATTTTTTAATTGGGAACCCCTATTTTTTATTGTGGATTTGGAAAGAGCAGGAAATTTTACGTCCAAATTTGGTTTTGACCATGACTTTGAGGATGACTTTCAAAGTCAAATGTGGGTCGAGTTCCCAAAGTCCCGGTACGGCAGAAAAACTTTCGAAAAATGCATTTTAGGAAAAAATGTTTCAAACAAAGGTGTAAGGATTTTCCCCTGGCTATCTGATGGTGACCTTGGATTTGACTTTGACTGTCAAGGTCATTTGAAGGTCAAGTTAAGTTTTTTAAATAGGAACCCTTATTTTTTATTGCGGATTTGCAAAGAGCAGGAAATTTTACGTCTAACTATGACCTTGACCATGACCTTCAAGGTCAAATGTGGGTCGAGTTCCAAAAGTTTCGGTACGGCAGTACTCCCGATTAATTAACGCAAGGTAGCGTTTAGTCTCGACCAATTAAGGTAAGGTTGGTGTGTATACCCGACCAATTAAGGCAAGGTAGCATGTAGTCCCGACCAATTAAGGCAAGGTGGTGTGTATACCCGACCAAATAAGGCAAGGTAACGTGTAGCCATTTCTTAACTGTCCGGGATCGTTAGCCTTGCTGGCCGAGCTATCTCCTTGCCTTAACTGACTGGGATCACTAGCAACCCTACAATGAGTGAAATTTTTTTAAATTCTTGAAAAAATTTTAGATAAATATCAAGAAACCAATATGCCGGTGATCATTGACCTTAAGTTTCAATGTCAAGCCTAAGTCAATTTGAAAATATTAAATTGGAACATCCTATTTTTTATGCCAGCAAATTTTATGTCCAAATGTGGGGTCGGAGAATTTTTCTGGTGTACCTTTGCTAGTCATTTAAAGGTTAGTCATAACAATGTATTAAATTTCAAAACTGTCAAGAATAGTTTCAGATATTATTTTTATATCCATTATTTTTGTAAAAAAATTGTTAGATTCTGACATATTTGGCACTGTATCAGTTGCTGGTACAGAAAATGCATATAATCCATTTGATATTAAGTTGACCTTAGTTTGACCTTGGAAATTGGGAAAGAGATCAAGTTATCATATAATTCGTCATTCAAAATCTTAAAAATTTATTTGTTTGAATCATTGTGCTTTATCGATTGTTGGCGTATAAAAATAGTATGTTCAATTGAATATTTTCAAATTGACCTTGGTTTGACTTTGAAACACAAGATCAAATTGGACTGGACATCCAAGGTCAGTAGATTATTGGTTTCTTGATATCCTAAAACTTTTATATGAAACTTTTTTAACAGGTCTCTATCTTCAAAAGTTATCAGGGGGTTCAGAACTTTTTAAGATACCTCATATATATTTTCAGCTGTCCTCAAAATATGAACAGTTAAAAATCACTTTCCCGAAATTCTCGACTGGTATATGAAAAACACTTAAAAGTGTTTATTACAATTGAATCGGTGAGTTCGAAAACCGTACAAGTCCAAAATTGGACATTTTAAATGAAGATAGCTATATTGTATAAAATATGTATGTTCCCTCACCGAGTGAGCATGAAAATCATACAAAATACTTAACCGTTACTGACCAATGAGGTGGAGAACTATGCATGTCTGTATATCTCAAAATGAAGTTTTTGGACATGTACGGTTTTCGAACTTACCGATTCAATTTATCTAAAATAAAATTTATGACAATTTATAAACTTTTTTACAGAGTAGCTCAAAATTTGCATAACATCAATAACACAGCCCCACAAAAAAAAAGTATCGGATCTGGTATTCAGACCCATGTATTTCCATGTATTTTTTCCCGCTGAATCCGAATCTGCCTTCAGATTTGGCCTAATGGGTCTGAGTTTTCAGGAAAATTCAAAAAACAGGTCAAAAGTCACAAAAAACTTAATTTTCGATCGACGAAAGTTATAAAAAGTCAAATTATTCTACCAGCTCCTAGACGTATGATTTTTCACTCGTTTAATTCCAATTTGTCATCATAGAGTCAGACAAGCTGGTCCAATTTCATTCAAAAACAGAAAATTGATTAAAATGCTTAAAAATGCCATTTTCATGGCATAATTCGTGTTTCAGAGTTCTAGATCCATCTTTTTATCCACCCACCCATTTATGAATTCATACATCTTTCTATCCAGTCGTTCATGCATGAACACGTATATTTATCCATATCCACCTGTACCACTTATAAAACCCACCCATCCACCCATCTATCCATCTACTTTTTGTGTTGAGAGATGAGGTAACAGCCTAGAAGATTGAGAATGTAATAAAACTACTATGTAATATGTAATAGAATACTCTACTTTCTAAACAAAAGAAAACGATATCTACAAATCATTCTTATTTTTGTTGCTATAACGTGTTCTCTTTTCTTCAAAGGATCTATGCAAAGGGTTACGCTTTCGTTTAGTCTTTCTATTTTTCGTTTCTCTTTTTAACAACCAACAAAAATCGGCCATCATGTTGTGATCCCATCTTCCTTGATATCGCTGTTCTAACGAGCGTTCAAATAAAAACATGGTCAAGTTTGTTCTGAAAATTTGGACGTAGGGCGTAGCGTATAGCAAATGAACTTAAACGTCATCTGTCAAAGCGCTGTATCGCCGCTTTGTTATTGAAACTGGCAGCTGCTATACAGCTCGTTGAGAAATGAGGTTAAGTTGGTCGCTATAAGCTACGCCCTACGTCCAATGTGTCAGAGCCAACTTCGACCACGTTTTTATTTGAACGCTCGTTATAACCTTCATATCCTGATGAGATCGTTCACCTTGTTCTTCGCTATAATCTCTACGATCTTCAGGAAACCAATCCAGATGTGAATGAAGGAAGTGCAACTTGTAGTCCATCAAACATCCCAGGTCTTGGAAGTCTTTTATCATTTTCGATACTATTTCTTCGCATTTAGGACTCTTGTTGTTTCCTAAAAAAATTGTCGCTACAACTTTGAAACTACTCCAAGCACTCTTCTCAACGCTACTTATTGTTGTGATGAATGTTGCATCCTTGAACAATGTCCGAATCTGAGGTCCATTGAATACACCTTCTTTCAATTTCGCCTCAGAAATATTCGGAAATTTTCGTCCTTTATATATATAGGGTGAAAACTTGTTGGTTGTTAAAAAGAGAAAGGAAAAATAGAGGGACTAAACGAAAACGTAACCCTTTGCATATATCCTTTGAGGAAATGAGAACACGTTATAGAAACAAAAATAAGAATGATTTGTAGATATTGTTTTGTTTTGTTTAGAAAGTAGAGTATTCTACAAGTTTTATTGCATTCTCAATCTTCTAGTCTGTTATCACATCTCTCAGCACAAAATGTAGATGGATAGATGTGTGGATGGGTGGGTTTTATAGGTGGGACAGGTGGATGGATAAATATGCGTGTTCATGCATGAACGACTGGATAGAAAGATGTATGAATTCATAAATGGGTGGGTGGATAAAAAAATGGATCCAGAACTCTGAAACACGAATTGCCATGAAAATGGCGTTTTTAAGCATTTTGATCTATTTTCCGTTTTTGAACGAAATTGGACCAGCTTGTCTGACTCTATGTTGATAAATTGGAATTAAACGAGTGAAAAATCATACGTCTAGTGAGCTGGTAGAATAATTTGACTTTTTATAACTTTCGTTGATCGTAAATGACATTTTTTGTGAATTTTCACCTGTTTTTTTAATTTTCTCGAAAACTCAGACCCATTGGGCCAAATCTGAAGGCAGATTCGGATTCAGCGGAAAAAAATACATGGAAATACATGGGTCTGAATACCAGATCTGATACTTTTTTTTTGTGAGGCTGTGTAACGTTTGTAAATTGTAGAATCTGGTGCACAAAGTAACATTAGATACGTTCATTTCGAAGAAATCATTTTCAGTACACTGCAAAAATTTTGCTCGTACTGACCTTTGTTAAACAAACAATTGAAATCAACATGTACAGAATCCCCACAAGTAGCGTCTAACAGGATATTCTCGCCATGTCGGTCGCCCAGTCCCAAAATGTAACCCGCCATGGACATGACGGCAGTCGTACGAATGTATGCTGTTCTGGCAGTTAACCAGCTCTGAAAGATTCATAAACATTTTAAACACAATTTTTTTGGTTTTATTAATTTTATTAATTTCTTAAGCAAATGAAAGAATTTATATTTGATTAACAATTTAAAATTATACCTGGGCATCGGGAAATGTCTTTCTAAACCACTCTCCTAAAACGGGAGGGTGACGGGGTAATAACTTTTTAGTAAACACGTCTCTCTTTTTTTCTAAAGGATCGCGAATGTGACAACATGCCTCCTTCAATTCCTTAGCTTTCATGGCTGAACCTAAAAATAGTTATTTTTCATTGTAGGTCACCTTTGTATTCAAGACTGGAAAGTTTTTTCACGAACGCCAAGAAAAAAACATTCGAGAATACAAACAGCTTCACAATTATATATCAAACCATATTTTTCTGAAACAGAATAAAGGTTTAACTAAAAATAGTTATACCAAAATATTAATTCATAGAAAAATAATAAGGTTATGTAACTCTGTCAATATTCCCTTTTGGAAAGAGTTATACATCAACTGGTACCAACATTTTTATGCATAGAACAGTTTTTATTCTCGGCATTCGTACTGAGAAAACTACCTCTTTGCTTATATAACGTAATAAGTATTGGCCTAAGACCAACAAGATCTGGAACCCATTCTATAAGCCCACATTCCTCGTTAAGCGGCGCCACCGAATATAACCTAATATTCAGTCTTCTTTGCCTGGCCTCGGGTTCACGAGCCAATAAATGGTTTACGATATCGTTGAATTCCATGAGCCTGAAGTCCTTTCGTAGATCGTCTTTCGGCTTCAACATATAGATGTACCTGTAACGGTCAATATAATAATACGAATGATAAGGGTACGAGTTTAGTAAAACGAAAGTTACCCTTTTCCATCTGATCCTTTTAATGTGATTTTCCTAGGCCTTTGAAGACTTTGTAATATAGTGACTTCGTCTTCTATACCTACGATATGCACGTAATGGTTAGGGAACGGGTTGTGCTGGCTACTTTTAAAATCTGGGTTTGGAAGGATCAGTTTTCTAAATTTTTGTGTTGGCATCATTATTTCACTAAAATCGTCCTTTTGCAACAGTCTAAAAATACAGAAAAAATTTACACTGGAAGTATATTTAAGAATAAAAGATAGATTCACAAATGTTTCGTTTTAACTACAAATGGCGCTAAAAATTTATTACTTTCATTCTAGTTTTAGAAAAAAATTGTTACATTATTTTTGCCCATAGTCAAGTATACAGGGTGTCCCGAAATTCATGCAACAAAATTTATGTTGTATGAGAACCACTAAATTTGGTACACAGGGGTTTTATGGCATGTGGAAACTCACAGTGCTACGTTTTTTGGCAGGGAACCCCCTTAAGACAATTTTTCGTGGCCCCCCTTGTCTTTGGAGCCAAAAAAATTTGGTCGCATATTTAAATTTCTTAAAAATTACCAGTCCACTAGAAAGCCATTAAATTTGGAAACATTTTGTCTTTATACTTTTTTCGTAAAACGCAATGTTTTTGAGAAAAATGTTAAAATGTGATTGAATGCATATCGTGATTCGCCATTTTCCTCAAAAACATTGCGTTTTACGAAACAAATATCAAGAGACAAGAAAGTTTCTAAAATTCAATGGCTTTCTAGCTAACTAATAATTTTAAAAAAATCTAATTTGTGACCAAATTTTTCTGGTTCCAAAGACAAGGGGGCCCACTAAAAAGTGTCTTAAGGGCGTTTCTCGACAAAAAGCGTAGCACTGTGAGATTCCACATGTCATAAAACCCCTGTGTACCAAATTTAGTGATTCTCGTACAACATGGTTTTGAAATATAAAAAATACTCAGGGGGCCGTAACTGTAACTCCTAAAGAGGGGGCCAGTTGGCAAAAAGAAAAAATACAGGTGCCCTAAATTTGTCTTAAGAATCTATGACCAAATTTTGTTGCATGAATTTCGGGACCACCGGTATACAACAATGGTGTTTAGTACCAAAGCATGCATTTATTTTTAGTCATGGCCAATTTCAACCTTTTTTAATCAAAAAACAAAAAAAACCGCTGAACCCCCTGAACTTTTTTATTTTTTGAGATAAGTGTGAAGAACTATATATTTTTGGAGTACATGAAACACTCTTTATTTAACCTTAACTAGGCTATGACTATTATTAACTTAACTTAACTTACAAAAAATGTCAACATTTAGAAAAAAATCCAAACTGTAGCCGTTGCAGTGATGGGACAAAATATTAACAATTTAATTATTTGGTTATAATCCAAAAAGTAAAAAAACATCAAAAATCTATTCTAACCTAAAGATTTCCCTCTAAACAGTGCCAATATTTGCAAAAATTGGATGTACTCTACAATACATATAGTAGGATCGTATTCGATGCAAAGTAGTGCAAAAAAATGTCAGTCTTTTATCAAAGGAAAATCTTGTCATCATTTTTAGGACACGTAAGATGAACCATTTCAAATTTAAAATGAAATTGAATGTGAAATCTGGAATACCACATTATACGCATTGTGTAGGTACTAGCCATAGTGGTCGGTTATACATCAAATACTAAAATAAAGCAGAGACTGCCTCCAAAAAACAGAGGTAAAATGTAATACATATGTGGAATTTAAAAAACAAATTGGATTTATAATAAATTAAATTTAAAATAAATACTTTACGAGAATGAAGGCATTTTTGTAGGAACAGGGGTGCCAGACGTGAACTGATCTCTTCATCCCTTCATAATGCATAAAGAAATTATTCAATTTCTAATCCCCTTAAAACCGTACTGCACTGGATCCTTTAATAGGCAATGATTTATTACTTTGCATCAAATATGATCCTACTATAGGTATTGGGAGTAACGACATCCATTGTTGTTAAATCTCATCTTTTGTAATTCCTACATATCTTCGTTCATAAAATTGCACAGAAATTTAACAAGGCATACCCACAACACTGAAATAAATATTTTATAAGGACTTACACTTCACTAAATATCGCTTTAAATTTTACTATGGAATTAAATGTAATAAAACACAACACTACACTATACAAATTCTATTTCGATTCTAGTGAAAACTAATACTTCACACAGAAAATCACAAAAATTATCTACTCCATTTACTTGTGTAAACCTATAAACTGAAAATTAAATTTAATATAATGAAGCAGTGACATATTTGACTATTTCTGTTTCGTAGAATTAATTTTGACCATTTGTTTTTTTGTCATCATATCACGTCAGATGGATTGATATTATGAATTCACCTAAAAATAGGTCAAATCAGAAATTATTGACACTGAGATTCACAAACTAAACACGCTGCTTTACAAAATACTATCAAAAGACTTTATAATAAAAAATTTGAAAAATTATTATTTTAAGACATAATTTAGTGTTACTTACAATTAATAAAGTATGCCTATATTTTCTTAATGTTCCAACTTTAAAATAACATGTAAAATCATGCAAAAGCAATCTGTTTTTCTATTAGAGTTTTACTCTCTGCTGATAGTTAATTTCATACAGTTGAATTAGAAAAGTAAAAGTAAGCAACACTGATAAGTGCGCTTATACAACTGAGTACAGGAGTGGCCCAGTGACGGCATAGACAAGGGTTATATGCAGTTTAAAAAATGAATTATAACTGGATTACCCAAAAAATAATTTCAGATTAATATTCTGGGGAACACATATTATTACCCCTAAAATACTGTCTCCACTTAAATTTATACAGTTATATATTTATATAAAAAAATAATAATGAATTCCTAAATTCCTCTATGCAGAGGACTTGGAAATTAAAGTACATACCTAGGAAGCGATCTTAACAAGGAACTAACTTTAGTTGAGTTAACGTCGGTAGGAATCTCCTTGTTACAAAGTTCGATCAGTTTTTCTGCTAGACTGGTAAAGTCCTTAACCAGCCTGACCATCGTGTTAGTTTTAAGACGTGGGTCGCATAAAATGTCAGCACATCTTTTTGATCTAAAAGTGTAACTCGACTTTATGACTGAAATAATCATCCACAGACTTTGTTGGGGGTATTGTTGAAGGAGCTTTATTATGATCGATTTCAGTTCCATGTAAACCTTAAACGAAGAAATTTAAGACATTCTGATTGAGGCTGGAAAGTGTTTAACAATAAATAAAAATTGTGTGAAATTTACCTCTCTTTGAGGATGGCATATTCTTGACACGAGTTGTGAAAAAGCTGTCAAGAACGCAAAAGCTGGAAGTCTTTCCAAGAAAGAATCTATCAATTTGGTCATTTTAAGTAACGTGTTCTTCCTCTCGTCTTTGATGCTACTTATAGTAACATCGAGAAGTCTCGTGCCGTAGTCGAACCAAATTGACAGTAGCCGAGGCATTGACTGGTACACATAGTTAGAACCGTACTGTAGGGATTTTCCGAAATAGTGGATCATACGAAGTTGAATTTCACTGCCTTTAGCATCGCGATCTTCCTCGCTATAATTCTGGAATATTTTGTCGTAGTACTGCGCTAGACAAACCTGAAAGTTATTTTGTAAAATTAAGTTATTTTTTTATAATATTTACAGTAAAGTTAGTATTTGATATTTCGTAATAGAAATTTAACTTACAAAATTTTTAAATTATAAAAAGAGACGTACCAAACTTTTCTCCCATTCTTTGTATGCATCCACTGCTTCTCTATAGTTCTGAAGATTTACTTCAACATCGACATTAGAAATGGTGTCATTGTATGTTGCTATTAGCAATTTTGCTTCTGCACATATTTTCCTATAAGTGATGTTTAAAAATTTGTAACTTTCAAATGATCATAAAATATTATTTTTTTTACATAAGGGATATTCAATTTTTGTGCATAAAAGCCATCAACATAAGTTCAAATGTTTTTTATTAAATAAACCCTACAACTATAACTTTCTCAAAGTTGTTAATCTTAAGCTTATGATTTTTTTAAATGCTAATTTCCAAAAATTATATTAGCATTTTTTTTTTGTGAATCTAATAATTAAATATTACTCTACATACCTATTTCTGCAATGATCTGTTTTAAAATTTTATATACTAATTTAAAAATGTAACCGTTCTTGGTATATTTTCATTTATTTCAATTAATTTATGATTTCATACTTTATTCTTGCCTAAAAAGGTGCATTTTTTTTCCTTGCACAACCTTTAATAATAATAAAAAACACAGTAGACAAGTCAAGTCACATTGAATAACATTGTATTAGTAGATTTCACATAAAAAAAGTAGTTAATAAAAGCAAATTCTTAGGATCTGCAATTTGAGGAAGTTAACTTCCAAATATGCATTCTTAAGGCTAGTAATCAATTTTAGCATTTCTGTCTTCTGATTAATATTAATGCATTATGTTTATGTTTATGTTTATGTTTAATGTTTATGTTTAATGTGGCTAACTTTAAAATACATACACATACATAACTTTTACACGTCAATCATGTAGGAACCTAAGTATAAAAAAATAATACTTGTTAAATCTTATTTAACGTTGTATCTTAGGTGTTAGGCCTACTTTTAGAAAACAGATAAAACAATTACAGTATATTAAAATTAACACTAAGAAGAAAAAAAAGAAACAAAANTGTGTGTGTGTGTCTGTGTGTGTGTGTCTGTGTGTGTGTGTGTCTGTGTGTGTCTGTGTGTGTGTGTCTGTGTGTGTGTGTCGTTGTCTTCGTTTTTTGATCCTGGTGGCTGTCTCTGAAACAGAAAAGGTTAGCGGGCAGGGGGGATGTCGTTGGGGTGGTCACCCAGGGTCAAAATGTTGGTGTCTAGGTCTTTTGTGTTTGTCGGGTACGTAGTCAACGGCTTGCCTGAGGAGGGGATTGTCATGTCTAGTACCGGGGGCGGCCACAAGTAACGCCTGAATCGAACCGTCACCACCGAAAATCATAACCAAGTAAAGTTCGTTACACACTAGAGATTTATAAACTATAAGTAACATTTTTTTGCTTAAAATATCTCTTGGTAGAATCTAAAAATCAGTTTTCGAATGTTCGTTGTTAATTTATTTATATGCTGTTCCCATTTAGTGTTTTTGTCAATAACGACACCTAAATATTTTATGGAATATACTTCGTTTATTCATCATTCTGTATTAATCCTATCAAAATTGGGCCTATTTTTTTTGTTTATTGAAAATGCTATGTACTTAGATTTACTAGCATTTAGAGATACCTGATGTCCATCTAACCATATTTTAATAGCAGTTATGCCACGTTCTATTTCTTTTTTAACTATATCCCAGGTATCACCAGAGAAAATGACTACAGTATCATCTGCATATGACAGTATTTTACCACTAGTATTTAAGAACAACAAAGAATTCAAATATATTATAAAAAGTATGGGCCCTAATACAGTGCCTTGTGGCACACCTATTTTAACTTGCTGGGGATCACTAATGGCCGGTTTCTCAAGTAGTAGATATCTATTAAATAAACTTATCGATTCCATAAAGTGGAGATATCCCATGAATTCGGTTTCTGAATCATTCGATAATGCTTATCTATTGCATAAGTTATCGAACGCATATCCAAAGAAAAATTGCAAGATATCTGTTCAATAAACATTAGCGCACGCGCGCCGCGATTTAGCTTTTGCTTGTTTACATCTTTATTGTAAGACTTAACCCAACTTTTTTGATATTTTCGTGACGATTACTTTGTGCAATGGAAAATTCTGATTCATCTACCTCTTCAGATGAAGAATATTTAAATATAGTCAGATATCTCGAACGGCCAAGACGTTATCGCGAAAGAGAAGACCAGTATGAAAAATACAACGACTCAGAATTTCGAGAGAGGTTTCGTTTAACGAAAGGACCTGTAAATTTACTGATAGATTTAATAGGAGATAGTATTCAAGTATCTAGTACTAGAACAAATTCGCCATCAGTATTAGAAAAGGTTTTAATAACTCCATTTTTATTCAAAAGGTTTGTATATATTTTTATTTAGTTAATGTGATGTGATATCATTAGGTACTGAACTTTTTTATATAAAGAACAATTTGTTGATTATTCCAGGAAGTTTTCAAATTTTGATAGGGGATGACTGCAACATCCACAAAACAAGTGTTTGTAGAGTCAAACAAAATGTAACGGAGGCGATAGCAAGACTTCGTCCACAATTTGTGCAAATGCCTCAAAATGAAAATGACCACCACCAGTTTTATATGTTTATTTCTGAAAATAGGTTCAAATAGAAATAAATATACAGATGTAATACTAAAATTATATTTAATTATTGAAACAATTATATTTAATAATTTTACTAACCTTGTCATGATACATATTTTTCCTTGATTTTTTCTTAATGCAATCATATAAAGCGTGCAGCTGTTTTTCAGTTCTAATTTCACTTTGGCAAGTAGAATTAAATTGTCTGGCTATTGATACCCATGCTCCATTTTTTAGCTTAACGTTTGAGGCATCAGTTTTTTTATTTTCCACAATATGCAAATAATTTTGCACAATTTCGAACAAAACGTTTTTGTCAAAGTCGCTGAAATTGCGTGCACGTTTTATATTTTCTTTATTTTCCATTTTACTCTGTTGACATTATAAAGAAACTCAAAACTCGAACAGGTAGGTATGTAAATACACGATAAATGTAAATTGTGGTTATGTGGTTATCAACTTTATTAGAGCGATAGTGGCGCCATCTACAATTATTTCTTGAAAGTGTTCTTTCATAAATCGGATCTGCAACACTTGTGCAATTTGCTAGCTCCCTCGATGATTATTGCAGATACTAAGATATCCATTCAACTGTTATGTATTCAACAAAATTTGGAAGGCATGCGTTTAGAAACCAATATAAAGTTATCGGTGTGATAAATTTATCTACTCGATAGTTATCGAATGGATTGCGCCAAATGTTGAGAAACCAGCCATAAGACAATTATTAACTCTAACATATTGCATTCGATCAGTTAAATAACTAGTAAAAAGCTTTAGCATATTTCCTCGAATTCCGTAACTATGCAGCACATTAAGAAGCTTATCATGAGGCACTGTATCAAATGCCTTAGCCAAGTCTAAAAAAACTGCAGCACACTTTCTACTAGAATCCAAACTATATGTGATTTCCTTAACTACTTCATACATTGCATCATCTGTACTTTTACCTTCCAAAAAACCAAACTGCTGTGGACTCAATATATTGTTATTTTTAAGAAAACTTACAAGCCTAGTTTTAAGGCATTTCTCAAAAATTTTTCCAAAATTATTTATCAAGCTAATAGGCTTGTAATTGGATATTCTTGTATTATCACCATTTTTAAATATAGGAGTAATGATAGAGCTTTTAAATTGAGAAGGCACAATACCAGTAGCAAAAATTTATTATGTGTAATAGGCTGAACTATTTGCTTGTGAGATGACTTTATAAGTTCGGCAGTAATTGCATCCATACCTGGAGCCGATTTTTTTTTTAAAGAATTTATTTGCAATGTTATTTTATTTTCTGTAACAGGCGTTAAAAACAATGAATTATTAATTGCTGGTATTTGAGAAGAAAAGTCATCAGGTATCTTTATATTGTTACCAATGTTAGCAAAATATTCATTACAGTAGTTCGACATATCTTTATTGTTATCATAAGATTGACCATTTTCATTGACAATATTAAAAGAACATGCATTATTTTTAAATTTTTCGTTGGTAGCTTCAGATATTACTTGATAAATTTTTTTCATATTGTTTTGATTAAGTAAAATAATATCTTTATAATACTCATGCTTACATTTTTTAACAGCTTATTCAAATTATTTCTATATGTTTTGTACTCTTATCTCCAAATCCTAAGAATAATTATTTGTCAGTCTTTTTTTCATTTTATCTCTAATTATTATTGACTTAGACCAACTGTAATCCAAGGTTTGATTTTCTTAGACACTAATATTAGTTGTTTTGGTATAAGTACTCTGAGATACAATTTTTAAATATGTTTCAGTAAATATATTAGTAGCAAGTTGAGAATTATTTAATTGCAAAACATGATTCCAACTTTCATTTTTAATCAAATTAATGAATTTATTAATATTAATTTTTTTAGTATTAGTTTGCTTGATTGTGTCACAACTTATAGAATCTTTACTAAAATGTATCATGACAGCATAATGATCAGTAACGGAGCATCAGTATAAAGGAGTAAATTTTAAAACTATTGACACCCTGATTACGTTTTACAAAAATATGATCAAGGCATGAAGTAGATTCTTTTGTAGTTCTAGTTGGAGATTGAATGTAGGGCACAAATCCATGTTTAGCTAACATTGACACATAATTGTTCACATACTCATTTTCTTCTAATATATTGATATTATCATCACCTACAATGAGTTGAAAACAGGCACCAACTTTATTTAAGTCTAAATAGTCATCAATATCCTTGATAAAAGCAAGTATATTAGTTGGAATGGGTCTATATAATGCAATTATCCTAAAAAGGACACTATCAATATTGATTTCCATAATACTCAGTGTTACCCCACTTATTTCCAACTTTGTATTATGGATTGAAGTTTCAAGACCCTTTTTTGCAATAATTATAACTCCATCATTTTTATTAAAATCCGCATGATTGTAAAAGGTATTATAACCAGGAATATTAAACTGATCTATAGAATCCACTTGAAAGCATTCACTTAAGATAATAACATCTTAATTATAATTTAATTCTTTCTTATACTACGGATATTAAGATGAAAGACACTAAGAATAGCATTTGTTTCAAACAGAAGCTTACTGTCATTAATACCAACATATCTTCCCATGCGATTACCTCCGATGCATTCGAGTTCTTGCAAAATTAAATCTTCATTGAGTAGTACCATTATACCAATGAATAGTCCGTTTTACTTTGTAACATCAACTTTTGGAATTCTAAACTGGCACATGACAGTTCTGAGGCAGCATGTTCAACATTATATTTTGTATTAAATTTTTCATTTGAAATAACACAGTTTTTACAACACAATTTCACTTTAGGGCAAACATTTTCTTCATGCTCTTCACTACATCTTGGGCATGTTAATTTGTTGCGACAATATTGCTTTTTATGATAAAAATCTTGGCAGTTAAAACATCTTGGCACATCCAAATCCTCATATACTGAATACCTTTCCCATCCAATACATAATTTTCTGTCGACCATTACTTGATTAAATGCCGTAGCCGAACACTCACAATAGATAGTATAATGGTCCCTATTATTTTTTCTAATATATGTTGTTTTAATGACCCCTGTTAAATTATTTTGTTCTGCAATACTATTATCAATTTCATCTGCACTGTTACCATCAAAATTAACTATTTTTATTCTAGGCTTTCTCATTTTTGTTTGCTCAATTAAATAGTTGTCCTTTAGTTCATACTTTACTGCTTTTTCTAAAATATCAGTCTCTTCTTTTGTTTGACAAGTGATATGGATAGAACGTGATTTGGTAGATTTAAATTGCTTTTTACCTATCTTTAATTCTAAAGGATTAATATATTTGTCCAGATCCGACTTAGTTTTTCTACTATCTTGTTCCCCCTTTGTCTTAATAATAACACAGGCCGACAAAATTTGAAAAAAAAAATTCCAGAGATCAGACACTACGCTTCCGAATGCATTTGGCGCGCTGAATCCGAATCTGGCCTCAGAATTGATCCATCACCCTAGGTTTCCGAGATATTCTAACCTAAGAGTGCAAAAACACGTACTTTTGATATATTCAAGGTTATGTAACTTGGCGAAAAAATTTTTTTTCTTAAAACTGAAAACATCATTGGAAACGACTATCTTTCCCCTTCAAAACGCATTTTTTTATTTGGAAAAAGCTCTATTTTTCGCGGAGATATCGTCAATTTAAGATAACCAGTATGGCTATATTATTACATCATGGCTAACCCCATAACACTGAGCGCTGCTAGCCCTAATTGTTAGGAACGTTAACCCCAAGCCCTATAACCCCACAACACTAAGCGGAGCGAGCGCCCTCATCGTCAGGAAGGTTAACTTCAAGCCCTATAACCCAATAACACTAAGCGCTGCGAGCCCTAATCGTCAGGAAGGTTAACCCCAAGCCCTATATGTCTGGAAGGTTAATCCCAAGCCCTATAACCCCACAACACTAAGCGCTGTGAGCCCTAATCGTCAGGAAGGTTAACTTCAAGCCCTATTACCCAATAACACTAAGCGCTGCGAGCCCTCTAAGGCTCGTAGCGCTTAGTGATATTGTGTTATAGGTCGAGCCATGGTTTAATAAGGTAGCTATACTGATCATCTTTAATCGACGATATCTCCGCGAAAAATAAAGCTTTTTACAAATAAAAAAATGTGTTTTGAAGGGGAAAGATAGTAGTTTCCAATGATATTTTCAGTTTTGAGAAAAAAAATTTGTTTCGCCAAGTTACATAACCTTGAAAATAGCAAAAATACGTGTTTTTGCACTTTTAGGTTAGAATATCTCGGAAACCTAGGGTGATGGATCAATTCTGAGGCCAGATTCGGATTCAGCGCGCCAAATGCCTTCGGAAACGCAGTGTCTGATCTCTGGAATTTTTTCCTTGTTGGCCTGTGTAATCTTTGGCTGATTTTCTTTCTTTTTATTAACCTCTGGTGCACTAGTTACAGATGCATATGATAATTGTGAAAAACTTGCAAGTTTATCTTCAACTTGTTTAACTTTTTCTTGTAGCATATTAATAATTACATTTTTGTCATCTATTATTTGATCTTTATCCTTTATTGTATTCCGTAAAAAATCAGTTAGTTAATAATTTCTGCATTTTTTTGCATATAAATTTCAATAAACGAGTTCGTAAAGTTAAACATATAATTTCAGAGCTTGAAACTCAGAGCAATCATTACATATTAAATTTCTGCACGAGTCACAAGGCGTACAAGGATTTTTTACATCTTTAGAAGGTTGCAAAGTTCTCTTACACACTGTACATCACGTTCCACGTTCCATATGCTAAATTCACTTTCCTTTTTTAAAACAACAAAATTTGTTCCTATATTGCTACTTTTTACTTTTAAGATCAAGACTTGAATGGTTTTTGTCACCTTATTATTTGCGTGTAAGTAGAATTCCTTATCATTTACATCCATTACTATGAATGCATAAATGCATAAATACCTCTAAAGACGTTACTTAGAGATCTTTTTTATTTTGTTATTAAAAAGCACTGCACTTTACTTAATTAATGGGTAAATTTCAAAATTTAATGTAGATTATTTCCCATAGAACAAACACCAAATTTCACAAACTGAATGAGGAAGTTGCATCAAATT